TCCGGAGGGTGGAGAGCAATATTGGACCTGAAGGGCCTGAATCATTATGTAAATTACAGGAGGTTCAAGATGCAGTCCTTGAAATCCATCCTAGCCAGCGTCAGGAAGGGCGACCTCCTGTCCTCAATAGATCTCACGGAGGCGTACCTACACATCCCCATTCACCCCAGTTACCGGAAATTCCTCAGATTTACGTACGCGGGCCGGCATTACCAATACAGGGCCCTACCCTTCGGGCTATCCTCAGCCCCAAGGGTATTTACCAAGATCCTAGCTGTAATAGCGGCCCATCTCAGGCTGATGCCGGTACGCGTACAGTTTTATCTGGACGACATCTTGATTCAGTCCAGATCGCAGGAGCAAGCAAAGGCAGACCTCAAGACCACAATCCGAACCCTACAAGGGCATGGATTCTCGGTCAATATAGACAAGAGCCATCTCACTCCCTCAAGGAGACTGCAGCACCTAGGCGCAGTGATAGACTCGTCGCAGTGCAGGGTATACCTTTCCCAGGAGCGGCAGACTAGCATTGCCAAGCTAATTCACCAAATTCAGAGAATCAGGAGAGTGCCCTTGATACAGCTCTCGAAACTCCTGGGAAAGATGATATCTTGCATGGGCATTGTCCCATGGGCAAGGCTCCACTCGAGGGAGTTGCAGTGGTTCCTCCTACCCTACCAGAGGAGGAATCTCAGTACCTCCAACAGGAAGGTCTTGGTACCAGTACAGGTGAGGAGATCACTGAAATGGTGGATATCCCCCATGATACTCAAGGGGAGTATATTCAGGGAGCCGAACAGGGTCACGCTCACGACAGACGCGAGCCTGTTCGGATGGGGAGCCCATCTGGGAACCCAGATAGCACAGGGCCAGTGGGACCAGAAGGACCTTTCACACAGCATCAACTGGCTAGAGCTTCGGGCCATCCACCTGGCTCTACGTCATTTCTCCCACCTAGTAACAAGAAGACACGTCCTCGTATTAACAGACAATGTAGCAGCCAAGGCACATGTAAACAAGGAGGGGGGAACGCGATCAGCGGAACTAATGAAGGAGGCATTAGCTCTGGCTCGGTGGGCAGAAACCAACGTGAGTTCCATCAGAGCGGAACACATCTCAGGGGAGACAAATACCCAGGCAGACTCCCTGAGCAGAGCCAAGATGGACCAGTCGGAATGGCGTCTGGATCCGGCTCTGTTCGAGGAGATCTCCAGGAGGTTCGGACAATCGCATCTGGACCTATTTGCCAACCCCAAGAACACACAACTCCCCAGGTTCTTCTCCAGATTCCCGTCTCCGGGGTCGGAGGGAACAGATGCTCTCAGGTATCGGTGGCCGGCGCAACTCCTGTACGCCTTTCCACCGCTGCCCTTAATACCGGCAACCATACGCAAGTTGATCCTGGAAGGCGCAGAGGTAATCTGCATTGCCCCGCATTGGCCACAGCGCCCGTGGTTTGCCGACCTTGTGGACCTTTCGATATCACCCCCATGGAGGATTCCCCCGGACAGAGTAAGTCTCAGCCAGGGCAAGTTCTTGCACCCAGATCCCCAGTGGCTACAACTAGCCGTTTGAGCGGCAAAGTTTAGCCAAGCAATCTTACTTGGCAGGGGTGATATCGATCATACAAGCGTCACGACGATCGTCCACTAACAGGATTTACGATGCTACATGGAAAGGTTTTTGCAGGTGGTGCGTCCCTCTTCGCCTAGATCCAGCCGCAGTATCTATCCCCAATATCCTAGATTATCTCTTGGAGGGTCTTAATAAAGGCCTATCAGTCAACACTATTCGCAGACAGGTATCGGCCCTCTCAACTGTACTCTCCTGTAACAACTTAACCTCCCTAGCGCAGCATCCAGCGATTAGCGCCTTTTTAAAAGGGGCGACCAACACAAAACCTCCCGTCATACACAGGTACCCGTCTTGGAACTTGCCTAAAGTTCTTCTAGCCTTGACATCAGCACCCTTTGAGCCTCTTGAATCATGTTCTCTTCATCACCTATCGCTGAAGGTAGCCTTCCTTATGGCAATTACTTCAGCAAGGAGAATTTCAGAACTAGCAGCACTGTCAGTAAGGAAGGATCTGTGTACCTTCTTCAAGGACAAGGTCGTTCTTAGACCAGATCCGGCTTTCATTCCGAAGGTAAACAGCATCTTCCACAGATCTCAGGAACTGACTCTTCCTGATTTCTGCCCAAAACTCAAACATAGGCTAGAGCAGAGATGGCACAAGCTGGACGTGCGTAGAGCGCTGTGTTTCTACGTGAAACGCACTTCGGCCTTCCGCAAGACGGAAGCGTTATTTGTTTCCTTTCAACCATCAACTATGGGAAAGAAGGTGTCTTCTTCTATCATAGGTAGGTGGATCAGAGCCTGCATAGCCCAAGCCTACGTCTCGCAGGAACTGCCAGTACCCACACATGTGACTGCCCATTCAACACGGAGCGCAGCCACATCTGCAGCGTGGCTGACACAAGCGTCGGTAGAAAAAATTTGCAAGGCCGCAACTTGGTCTTCGCCTTCTGTCTTCATTCGGCATTACCGTTTAGACTCCTTTGCCGCAGCAGATGCTGCCTTTGGTAGAAGAGTGCTACAGCAAGTCGTATCTGCTCAGGATTCGGTGGCCTAGACATTCCCTCCCAGGGGGACATGAGGGCTTTGGTATGTCCCATCCATTGGACTCTACAGCCATCCTGCTGGAGAAGGGGCGTTGTCTTACCTGAATGCCTTTTCTCAGCAGGATGATGTAGAGTCCAAGCCCACCCAGCTATTAGGTCTAGGCAGGTATAAGATAAAGAGCTACAGTATTAATTCCAACAAAGTTTCTCGCCTAAGTCAAAACTGGGGTCACGCCCAAAGGAAGGGTGTGGCCAAAGTTTTTACCCAGTCTGCCGGGCAGGAAGACTGTCATAGAACCCATCCATTGGACTCTACATCATCCTGCTGAGAAAAGGCGTTCAGGTAAGACAACGCCCCTTCTCAGCCTATATAGATGGTAGAGAGAGAATGGCATTGCTGAAAATTTGACATTTTGCTGCCAGATATTGACTCTGTGATCTAAGGTTTTTGTGGGGTCCTATGGATCATAAATTGCCCGCCTTTTTTAAAGGGATATATAATTCTTTGATCAAATGCTTGTTTTGGAGCCCAGGGTAATAAACATGAATTCTAACGTTCATGCAGCTAAAGCTATAAATCCCTTTTGAACTAGCAGCCAAATTGATCTGCTTTAAATGATCTCCTTAGTCAGATGAAAAGAAGCAAAGCTCCCAAGAGCTGTTTTATGCTGGCCAAGATTAATGCAGGATTTATTTGTCCTGGCAAATTTGGGCAAGGAATAATGCTCTAAAAGGCAGTGAGGGCGAACCTTTTAGAGGCCGAGTGCCCAAAAACTGGCCCCGTCCCCATTCCACCCCCCGCCCCACCCCACCCCCACTCACCACCTCCAGGGCCCACCGCAGATTGCCCAGGCAGCCCAGCAGCACCATGGCGGCCATGCCCTCTGCCCGCACCCCGCAGTATCAACTGTGCGGGATGGGACATGAGGGCAGAGTCTTGTCTACGCTGCCTGGCTGCCATGTCCTTGGCTGCCCTCCTCCGTGTGGGCCACGCTCGGGGCCGACTCTCCTCCAGGGGGGTTGCTGTTGAGGGGGTCGTGGGGGGAGGCAAGGCAGAAACAACGGCACATGTACCCACAGAGAGGGCTCCGAGTGCCGCCTTTGGCATGTGTGCCATAGGTTTGCCACTACTGCTGTAAGGCAAACATTCACCTGTATCTTCATTGAATAGTGTTGGGATCACGCCTTATTACAGTATTTCTAGGAATGGATTCTGAGAGCACTTTAGGAGCTGCTTTTTGTTTGATCAGTGCCCTTGCCCAATTAATGTTTGAGATTGGCATGTTTAGTATTGGATTGAACCACACAGCAATTCAAAATGTGATTACTTGGTTGCAGTGTGTGTGTGTGTGTGTGTTTGCGCGTGCGTGCTCTGAAATGTTAATTTTGCAATGCAAGCCCTTCTAACAGAGATTCCTTGACTTTTGACCTAAATGCTTGTTATCTTTGTCATTTCTGTAGGAAAACCATGATGTAGCAAAACATATTTTTATAACAAATTAAGAATCTGTATCACAGATTATTCTAGTTATAAATAAAGGATGTAAGGTTTTTTTAAATAATAAACAATTGGGTTCATTTTTGATAATAACTTTTCCCCTACTTGGTAAAACCCATGTGCTTAAAAAATAAAAGGCCAAGATTCAGAGAACTGTGCAGTGGTGCTCCATGTGTTATGTTCTTTGCTTTTGGCTTAGTATAATATATCAACTATTTTATTACAGCTTAGCGCATAGGGTAGAAAAGGTGCAGTCATCGGCAGCTTTTGGAGGGTAATCCCAGCTCTCCCAAGAATCAGCAGGCCAAAAAAAAAAAAAAAAAGGTGGGGAGACTTTGGGGAGTCTAAGATACCCAATCCTTAATTACTCCCCCCTCCCCCCCAAAAAATCAGGCCTATTTTGGGAGTTGGCCTTGATCAGCTTTGGAGAGCATTTCCCAGCATGCTAAACAAAGCCCAGTGTGACTTTTCATTTTATGCACTGGTATTTTAATGTGGTACTCCAGTCCAGCTACTATATTCATTCAACAAATCACATGTTAAAAAAGTGGCTGAAAATTGTGAGCCAAATATCATCAGAAAAAAAATAATGAACATTTTTTTCCTTTAATCGTGTTTAAAGCAGCTCTCTGGTTCCCAGCCACACATATATTTCAGGTAACACGCAGGGGTCCAAAAAGATCTTATTTGGGGGTGGAGGCACCGTCAGTTCTTTATAATATTGAATCATAGCATTCTGTGGAGTACTTTATGTGCATGACATGGCATTTATCTGCAACCCCAAATTCCAACAGTTTCACGGTTTGAAAAGCATTGCAGATTTTAAAGTGTTTGTTTCACAAGGATTGGCAATTCTTCTCTCTCTCTGTCTCTCTCTATAGAACAAGGCTTAGATCACATAGCAGAAAATATCCTCTCCTACCTAGATGCCAGATCACTCTGTGCAGCTGAATTGGTTTGTAAGGAATGGCAGCGGGTTATTTCAGAAGGAATGCTTTGGAAGAAGCTTATTGAGAGAATGGTACGAACTGATCCACTCTGGAAGGGGCTCTCAGAAAGGAGGTGCTGGTACGTATCTGTGCAAAAGGAATAAACAATTCTTCCTCCTTAGGAACGGAAATACCTCTCTAATGTATTGAGCACACCTGGTCTGATTGGGCAGTAATGGTGGTAAAGGTAGAAGACAATGCAATGCAATTCTTAGTTAAGAAGTATGTACTCCAGTTTTTTTCTCTGTCTTTTTGCTTCTTGATTTGGCTTTGATCGTCTTCTTTGAGTGCGTATTTCATTGAGGTCTGCTAATAAAGTCAATGCGGGGAGGGGGCTTTGTATTTTGTAGGCAACAGAACTATTAGTATTTAATTACAGAAAGAACATGCATAGCCTTCCATGCTGCCCTCTGTGTTAACGACATGGAAAGCAGTGTCTAAGCCTCAGGGAGCTGAGAATACATCTCCAATTGCATTCAGCTACCCAAGCCAATTTCTCTCTAGGGCAGGGGTAGGCAACCTTGGCTCTTTTATGACTCGTGGACTTCAACTCCCAGAATTCCTGAGCCAGCCATGCTGAGGGGAAAGGGAGAGGTTTCCATGCTGGCTCAGGAATTCTGGGAGTTGAAGTCCAGGAGTCATAAAAGAACCAAGGTTGCCTACCCCTGCCCTAGGGCAATAATAGTTTTACAGGTGTGGGAACAGAATCAAAAGGAGAACTTTTTAAAGTTTTAATTCTATGTGCGGATTTAACTAAAAGAAAAATGTGGACAATTGAATTCTCAGTTCGGCTCTTTGGGTGTTGCTTTTTAGAATGGAGATTTTATAAAATAAGAATAAAAAACACAGAATAAGGTAAGAATGTTAAACTTGGTGGTAGGTTCATTGGAGGGCAATCAGTGTGACTAATTTTTCAAGCAGCGTAACAGAATTAATTAAGTTAGTGGTATTCAGAATTCGGAGATGGCTTTACAATGTCAGTATGTCACTGATATCCATAGAATCAATTCAAACATTTTTTATTTCTGCATGGAAAATATAAACCTCTCTTTCTTCTTACTGTTTTACAGGGATCAGTACCTGTTTAAAAACAGACCCACCGATGGCCCTCCTAATTCATTTTATAGGTCACTGTATCCAAAGATAATACAAGATATAGAGGTATGTTTTTTAAAAAACATTACTTTGTTTAAAATGTACTTGATACTGTAAAAGGCAAGAGGAAAAATATAGAAATCTTGTTTCTGGAAGTTACAATTTAAAGGAATTTTTGAAAATTAAAATTTAGATTCCCTGAAGAGGAAATGAGGGATGCAAATAATCAGACATACAATACATTCAGAAAGTATTGAGACCCCCTTCGCTTTTGTCAATTATGTTATGTTGCAGCCTGATTCTACAGGTTGAAATTCATTTTTTCTCATTAATCTACACTTATTATTATTTGCTATTATTACCATAATAACAAAGCGAAAAAGAATTTTCACGCCATCCAACCTGAGCTTCAGAGGATTTGCAAGGAAGAATGGCAGAACATCCCCCAATGCAGGTGTGCAAAGCTTGTCGCATCATACCCCAAAAAGACTCAAGGCTGTAATTGCTGCCAGAGATGCTTCAACAAAGTATTGAGTGAACGGTCTGAATACTTATGCCAATGTGATATTTCAGGTTTTTTTTTTCTTTTTAAAAATGTACAGACATTTCTAAAATTCTGCTTTCACTTTGTCATTATGGGGTATTGAATGTAGATTAATGAGAAATAAATAAATAAATTTCAGCAACTGTAGAATCAGGCTGCAGCATAACAAAATTGATAAAAGTGAAGAGGGTCTGAATACTTTCTGAATGCACTGTAGGTGTCTACAGATCCTACCTTGGTTGTTTGTTTGATATCTCTTTCTCCCTCCCCCCCGGCCCCCCTGTATTGTCATAAACATTTTGGGAAGCTAATGTTGTGATTCCTCGCCAGCCAGTGGATCCGGCAGCTGAGTCTGAGGAATCAGAGGAGGAGGAGGGGCCTGGAGTGACATTAGAGTCAGAGGAAGGCTCTGAGGAGCTCCAAGACTTACAGTTGGACAAGGAGCCTGGCCCCTCTACTCGCACTTAGGCTGAGACACAGCTGTGCTGGGAGCCTGAGTTGGACAGTGATGAAGAACAGTTGGGACAAATCCAGGATGCACGAAAGCGCAGGCAAGAAAAGCGAGTAGGACAGAGGAATGCAGTGAGGCGGCTCCAAGGGCAAAGGAGAAGGCATTAGGAAGCCACGCCTTGGCTGAATTATGAAAGGGAAGGTGTGGGAGGTGCTGGTTGCCAAAGGCAACCGTTCGTGTCGAGGATCGACTTTCTGTGGACTGTGTTTGTTTGCCTTGGACATTGACTCAGGTCTGTAAGAATAAAAGGGGTTGGTTTTTTTCTTGCGGTTCCTTCCTGTTTCTTGGAAGAGGGGTTTCTCCTTATGAGCATAACAAGGACTCACATAGGCTGGGACAGAACAGTTTCCTTCGGCCTTCTATCCCCTATTACCATGGAGCAGTTACATGCGGAGAATGCCCAGCTCTCCCAGCACTGGCTTTGCTGGCAAGTTGCTCAGCTTCAAGCCTCCGCTCCTGCTGCTCCACAACCCTGAAGGAAGTGTCCATTCGTAGTGCCTGACAAATTCGATGATACTCCAGAGATGTTTCCAGCTTTGTTGGGCCAATGCCAGCCCTTTATCAGCCTAAGAGCGGCTGTCTTCCCCACTGACCATGATAAAGTGGGGTTTATGATCAGCCTCCTCTCTGGTGCTGCAGCTCATGGGGCACACCCCTGCTAGCCCAGCCTAGTCCATGGTTGGATACTTTTGGGTTTTTTTTGACTATATGCGTCTTATGTATGAGGACCCCCATTAAGATGCAGACCGCTACCTGACGCCTGAAAGCTCTGAGGCAGGGCTGACACCCTTTACAGGGATATATCAATGAGTTTCAGCTGCTTAGCCAGTTTCAGCTGATTCAATCTGGAACGAAGCTGCACTCATAGATGCTTGTCAGAGAAGCTGTTGGACGAGCTGGCCCGTGTCGATGTTCCCCTAGATCTCAATGGGTTGATCCATCTCTGTTTGCAGATCGACACTTGGCTGCAGCAGCGTAGGAGTTGTCGTGCCACCCCAGAGACCCAGGCAGCCCCAGTTGTGCGTGAGACTCCGGTTCTGCGGGAGGAGCCTATGCAGTTAGGTGCTGCCAGACCTCGCTTATCAGTGGCAGAAATGAATAGACAACGTTTGGGGGGGTTGTGTTTCTACTGTGGGGACCCTGGACATTTGGCCGCCTTCTGCCCCAAGAAGTGACAAGCGGCGTCAGCTACCAAGCCCTGCCCCGCAAAAGCAACCTTATCTGTCGGGAAATGCCCTGAGCCCAACCTAAAAGACGTTTTGGGTTGGGCTTCCCCCAGCACCGAGCAATGTCCATCCTTCGGATGCTGCACTCGGACCTCCATGGCATTTGATACTGGCAGCACGCTTGATCCTCCCCGGGAAGCCACAGGGGATTCCGGTACATGCTCTGGTCAACTCTGGGGCCACCACAAACTTTATGGACGCAGAATTTGTGGCCATATGGGCTGTTCCCCAATGCCCAGTGGAACTGCCTCTGTTAGTAGAGACTATTGATGGCCAAGTACTCCTATCCGGGCCAATTAAGGCTGCCACGCAACTGTTTGGTATGGCCATCAGCTCGCATGAGGAGGCTATTCAGTTTTACATAACCTCTGACCTGCATTTCCCCGTGGTCTTGGGATTAGCGTGGCTCCAGGCGCATGATCCGCAGATTTATTGGTCCCAGAACTTGGTCACCTTTCCAACTTTACAGTGTGTGGACCACACCCACCAAGTCTATGCCGGCCAGGTAGTGAGTCCCCCAGGGGTCTCCCTGCCCTCCGAACTGGCAACTTATGCTGATGTGTTCAACGAGACTGAGGCGGATAAATTGTCTCCCCCCCCATCGACTTAGTTCCTGATGCGCCTTTCCCAGTGGGACCCTGAGTAGGCTGCGTTGTGGGACTTTCTGGACAAAAATTTGACTTGGGGGTTTTATTCGGCCCTCGTCTTCACCATTGTCTGCACCAGTGCTCTTTGTAAAAAAGAAGTCAGGAGAATTGAGGCTTTGCTGTGACTATTGAAAATTAAACGTCATTATGGTATGTAATCGATACCCGCTGCCCCTCATCTCCGAACTTCTAAAACGGCTCCAGGAGGCAAAAATCTTCACAAAATTGGACTTGAGAGGAGCCTACAATCTCATTAGGATTCGGTTGAGTGATGAGTGGAAGACAGCGTTTGGCATCCGGTGCGGGCACTTTGAGTATACAGTGATGCCGTTTGGGCTGACCAGTGCCCCTGCAGTTTTTCAACACTTCATGAACGACATATTCCGAGATCTGTTAGATCAGTTTGTCATGATCTATTTGGATGACATTCTGATCTACTCCCTTTCGCGGGAGACGCACCAGCATCTCCGTCAGGTCCTGCAACGGCTCCAAGATCATCGTTTGTATGCCAAACTGAAGAAATGCCAATTCTATCAAATGACCATTGATTTCCTAGGTCATCGCATTTCTCCTGAGGGCATTGCCATGGAGCCGAGCAAGGTCGAGTCTCTGCGTGGTTGGCAACCCCCACGTTGCATTAAAGATGTCTAGCGACTCCTTGGGTTGGCCAACTACTATAGAACCTTCATCCCCGGTTTTGCTTCCATGACTACGCCCCTCACTCGGCTCCTGCAGAAAAAGACCTGGTTTCATTGGGATATCCTGGAGCAATAGGCTTTCCAGGCTTTAAAGGAAGCCTTCATGAAGAACCCATCTTGAAACATCCTGACCCGCAACGGCCGTTTGTCATGGAGGCAGATGCCTCCGACATTGCCATTGGAGCGGTGTTACTCCAGGCTAATGCGCCCGGCAGTGCCCTCTTCCCTTGCACATACTATGCACAGAAACTGAATCCGGTTGAGCGCAACTACACCATCTGGGAGGAGGAGCTGCTGGCCATCAAAGTGGCATTTGAGTCCTGGAGGCATCATTTGGAAGGGGCTCAGCATCAAATTGAAGTCCGGACGGACCACAAGAATCTGGAAAGCTTGCAGACCGCCCGGAAATTGAACCAATGACAGATTCGGTGGTCTCTCTTCTTCGCTAGGTTCAATTTCTATATTACCTACATACCAAGCGGTCTGTCAAGGAAGCCAGAATATTCCCGTACAGAAAACAAGCTTCTGCTCAGGACATTTCTCCCCATAGAGTCTTTCTCTGCAGCTTGGGAGCCAATAGATATATGGGCTCGGATTCGGGCAGCACAACAACATGATCCGTGGGTGGCTCAGCAAAGGGAGGATTTGGAGCCAGACTCCCCATGGACCGTCACAGATGGACTTCTAAAATATCGTGATCAGCTCTATGTTCCAGGAGGGCCACTCAGAGAGCTCATTCTCAGCCAATGTCATGATAATCTGGCAGTGGGGTATTTTGGTCTGTTCAAGACACTGAACTTGGTCTCCCGTACATTCTGGTGGCCCCGAATACGTCCAGGCCTACATCACATCTTGTGTACAGTGTAGGCAGGCCAAGTCAGCGACGGGGGCCCCACCAGGTCTACTTCAGCCCTTGCCGATGCCTGAAAGACCCTGAGGGGCAGTGTCCATGACTTGTCCCCATCTTCTGGCTTCACAACGGTATTTGTGGTAGACATGCTGACCAAGATGGCGCATTTCATTCCTTGCCGTGGCTTGCTGTCAGCCTGTGCCACCATTCGCATGTTTGTCCAGCAGGTTTTCCGGCTGCTGTTTCAGATAGAGAGGCTCAATTTACGGCCCGTTTCTGGAAGAGGTTGATGAAGGCCCTAGATGTAAAAATCTGCCAATCAGGACTGAGAAAGTAATCGGAATCCTAGAACAATACCTGCGCTGTTATGTGAATCAGCAACAGGATAATTGGTTGGACTATCTTGTGGTAGCCAAGTTCGTGTTCAACAACTCACAGCACACCTCCATGCATATGACACTGTTTCTGGCCAATGTGGAGTATCATCCCCAGCTTTTTCCCCTCTCGCAGCTCGACACACCAGTTCCTGCAGCTAACAAATATCTAACCAAGTTACGTACTATCCATCAATTGGTACAGCGACAATTAGATAAGGCCAAGGTGGATTACAAGAAGGTTGCCGATTGGTCGAGGCAAGATATGCCTACATTAACGGTGAGAGATCGGGTATGGCTGTCAACCAGGAACCTGCCATCAAACTGGCCTGCCAAGAAACTAGACCACTGGTACTTAGAACCATTCCCTATCAAAACTGTCATCAACCCGGTCGCTTATCAGTTAACTTTGCCACGGTCGCTACGGGTACATCCGGTCTCTGTTGGTCCCAGAACAGCTGGCATGTCCACTCCGACAATCAAAACATCCCCCACCGGAACAACATAACGGAGACAGCGCTCCCGAGTATGAGGACACCAGTATTCGAGACTCCCGTTGGCTGAAAGGGCGATTTCAATATTTGATTGAGTGGAAGGGCTATGGACCGGAGGAGTTCACCTGGGAAGATGCGACCACTGTCCATGCTCCTGCCTTGGTGACAGCGTTCCACGAACAGTTCCCTTCACGACCGCATCTGGCCCAGCAGACCCGGGGGAAGGGTCCTGCGGTGCGGACTAGTGTTGTGATTCCTCGCCAGTCAGTGGATCCAGCAGCTGAGTCTGAGGAATCAGATGAGAAGGAGGGCCGTGGAGTGACATTAGAGTCAGAAGAAGGCTCTGAGTAGCTCCAAGACTTAGAGTTGGACGAGGAGCCTAGCCCCTCTATTCACTCTCAGGATGAGACACAGCTGTGCTGGAAGCCTGAGTTGGACAGTGATGAAGAACAGTTGGGACAGATCCAGGATGCACGAAAGCGCAGGCAAGAAAAGCGAAGGTGTGGGAGGTGCTGGTTGCTGAAGGCAACCGTTCATGTTGAGGATCGAGTTTCTGTAGACTGTTTGTTTGCCTTGGACATTGACTCAGGTCTGTGAGAATAAAAGGGGTTGGTTTTTTCTTGAAGTTCCTGCCTGTTTCTTGGAAGAGGGGTTTCTCCTTGTGAGCATAACAAGGACTCATGTAGGCTGGGACAGAACAACTATGAGATGGCCAAATTGCCATTCCCTTTTCTGATTCATGCTCTCTCTACAAACGCAACACCATCTGCTTGATGACTTTATGGGCTAAGCTGTCCACTTTCATCCTGCACTTTTATCTCCATTCCCAGAGAGTTGCAGCCTTTGGAAAAGCCATATTCGGTTTGGTCAGCATAACTCACCTATTTATGTGAATCCCAGAGAACACAACAAAGACCTGGTTAATTATGTGTAGCTTCACTTCTTTGGTTGTCTGTAAATTCATACAATCTGCAGTTCATGACTGTTCTTTTGGATCTACCTTGCCAATCAGAAATTAGATTAAATTTTGTGGTAGGCACGAGTATGGAACTCCTGCTAAACAACAGTTGTGGAAGATTCCAGATAGGGCTTTATTTAACTGGTGCATAACTAGCCTGTGTGAATTCACAGATAGCCATTTGTTGAAGAACTACAATTGGATGAGTAACTAGCATCGTCAGCAGGGAGGAAACTTTGCTCAGGGTTTGGTTTTCATGCTCTGATTAGCAAAGCAGATGTAACAGAGCAATTGTAGTTATCCTTTGAATTAGGAAAATAGTGGTAGCTTACGTAAGAGGCAAGAAGTGCTTGAAATAGCCAGTGCTCTGATTCCCAAGCCTGGATTCTGTATTGGGCAGTTTTACATGGTCTCTGTTGTATCATCAAATATTTCATATTGGGTATAGATCAGTGGTTCTCAACCTTTTTAATGCCGCGACCCCCCAACTAATCGTAAGTCGAGGACTACTCAACTGGTGCAGCACCGTTTGCAGAATGGGACTTTTGGCGGGCTCAGCAGGGCAGAGACAGCCTGGACAATTCCTATTGGCTTTTGAAAGCCAATAGAATTAGACTCTATTCAAGAGATTTTATTCTATTGGCTTTCAAAAGCCAATAAAATAAAAGGGAGTAGCACAGCTAAGGAAAAGGGGGGAAAAATGGCGGACTGCATTGTTTGGCGACCCCCGTGAAATGGTCATTCGACCCCAAATGGGGTCCCGACCCACTTGTTGAGAACCACTGGTATAGATGAATCCTGATAGCAAATAGAACCCCGAATACCTGGTCATCCGTGTATCTATCTACCCACCTGACTACTATTTAATTCTTTCAGATGTTTTTCTCTTTGCATTTTCATACGTATTTATTCCTGCCAATTTCTTTGCAGCTATAATGTTTCTGTAGATTGTGGCTACATTCCCAGTATATTGGCAACTGTCACAGTGAAAAGGATTTTAGAAATTCTCAAAAATACGAAATGTTTTCCTCCACAGTAGCAGTACCACATTGCTGTGTGTCTGAAATCTCATCTACCCAGAGAATGGAATGGTGCACCTGCCTGGACTTTATTCCTAGCTCTCTGGTTTAAAGAGAAATAGCACGTTCCTGTTGCTTTGATCTTCAATATACACATGGAAAGCAAATTCTTTCTAAACACTTCGATAGAATTGATTTGACTAGGATTAACGAGTGTCCTCTTACATGTTGCACCTCAAGAATTAGTGAACTTCCAAAATATTTGGATCACTTCAACTATTGCCCACATGACCAGTGTGAAGTACTATAAACAGGAATTTTAATTAATTAAAAATTAAATAATTGGGGCCTGGAGGACCCATATAATGTATGTGATACTAATCAGTTTAAATGTTGGGGTGAGGGGAATCAAATTAAATGAGGTTTCCCAAATTCAGATTTTTTTTTTAACTTTAAGAGTATAACGCCTGTAATACTTCATGCTGTGAAAGTGCTGTTTAATTCTGTGTTCATACCCTGTACATTAAGAATGAAAACAAGCTAGTACGGCAAACAGGCATGATAGTGATTGAAATTGGAAAAAAAACAGTTAGCAAACTACACATTCCTCAGCTCTGCTTTACGGATTTAGGTATGCTTAATCTGCAGTTGTGAGCAATAACTATAAATGAGGAAAATAGTGGCCCTAGTGTTTGAAATGACAAATCATGTTAATTTGCTACAGTAGTAAATAAGGTGTACCCAAAAGGGGGGGAAAGAGAGAAGAGATAACCTTTATTGTCATTTTTTAAAAAAATATGAGCACAGTGGCCCACGTTAAAAATGAAATTCTCTTGCCTGCTCTCGAAAGAAATTATATATCTACCCATAAAAAAGTTTCCCTTTCAAATCCAAATCAAATTGTCATGTTCTGCTGAATCATTTCGGATCAGCCGCCATCAGGCAGAAACAAAATGTAGATAGCTTGGTTGTGCTGGGTTTCCGTTGAACTGTTCAGGGGAATAGAGCAAGACTAGTCGGTGCCTCTTACTTTCTCCCTGGAGCAGCTTTCACCCAGCATAACCCATCAGTCCTTGCTCCCATTCTTTCCAGTACCTCCCTTCCCTCCCTTCAACTGATGTCCGGGCACAACATAGTTGCTGACCCCCTGCCCCCCCCCCAATCCACAGTATCTTGTTTCCTTGACCACCTTTAGTCATTTATGGTCTTGGTTTTTCTCTATAATCATCCCCAAAATCGGGTAAGCAACCTCGGCTCTTTTATGACTTCATGGACTTCAACTTCCAGAATTCCTGAGTCAGCTATGTTGATTCAGGAATTCTGGGAGTTGAAGTCCATGAGTCATAAAAGAGCCGAGGTTGCCTACCCCTGCCCAAAATCATTCTGCCCGAATCAAAACAGCTTCATTTTGTTCCATGTATGAAGTAAAACCGTGTTTGGCCTGGGTCATCTAAAATCGTCTGTCCTGTGCACAGAAAAATTTGGGAAGCTTTATTATTAATTGTGTCCTCGAATATATCATTTGGTTCAAAAATGAGCACCGGACTCTCTATGGAAAAACGCCATAGCCAAGGTTTGTTGTTCCCTCTATTCTGTTTAACTTAACAGCAAGAAATATAAAACCTCCAAACTGAACAAAGTAAATGTTAAAGCAAATATTTTTTTATAAAACATTAAATTATAGAAACCTTGCTGTACATCAGCATTAAAAGCCTGGTAATAAGCATCCATGTCCTTCTGAATGGTTCTGTTTTCAAGACCTTATCTAAAATTTGAAAGCAAAGGCACAGCCAGCTCTCCTGTGGAGTTCCTAAGGGGGGAGGCTGTCACTGTGAATCGTGCCTCTTTCATAGAACAGGAACTGCAACAGGTGTGCCTGGGACAAGTGCACTAGAAGAGTATGCTAGAAGTGACACTGGAAGCTTTTAAGAGGAGACTGGACAACCATTTGTCTGAAATGGTATAGGGTTTCCTGCCTGAGCAGGGTGTTGGACTAGAAGACCTCCAAGGTCCCTTCCAACTCTATAATTATTATTATGATAATTATTATTAGCATGGCCCTTTGAAAAAACCTTCCTGCAGGCACCAAGCATTGTAAGCTCATAGGATGATACCAGTTCTTTGAATTGTATCGGGAAACCTACAGATGCAAAAGTTATCTCTGAGTACTGGGTCCCCCATATTAACACGTAGGCTATTCTATTTTGTTCCAAAACCAGCTTCAGAAGGAGCCACTTTAAAGCAAGGGTCCCCAACCCCGGGTCCGTGGACCGGCACCGGTCCGCGGCATGCCAGAAACAAGTCCACGCAAACAAGCAAAGCTCCATCTGCGGGATGCAGGCAGTAGATGAAACTATGCCCCCCACCCTCCATTATACAAAAAAATCTCTCTCCACGGAACTGGTCCTTCGTGCTCAAAAGGTTGGGGATCTCTGCTTTAGAGGATTCTAACGAGGCAAGAATGAACCAGGGTAACTGTGGCCACAATTGAAGCGCAAACTGGCTGGCAAAGGCTTCCTCAGAGTACCATTGTGATGAAATTTCAGTGGTATCTGGTAGGATTGTGTATCACCCGAACATGTTCCGTTCTCTTGCAGACAATAGAATCTAACTGGCGATGTGGAAGGCACAACTTACAAAGAATCCAGTGCCGCTCTGAAAATAGTAAAGGTGTTTACTGTTTACAATATGACGATGAGAAGATTATAAGCGGCCTAAGGGATAACTCCATTAAGGTAAAGGGATTTTTGGACATTCGCAGGGAGATCATTTTTTATCATTTTATCTAGGGTGCTATCCTATTGTAGAATCTACCTGTATCCCTCCAAAAACATATGCAGCACCGAACTAATAAAAAAAATAATCTTAGAACCTATATGTTTAATTGAAACATTAAGGTGTCCCTCCCCAACTGGGAGGGGCTTAAATTAATGGAGACATGACAATAAAGGGAGATGTGTTATTTTTATTTAAGCATTTTTTATAGATCTATAACCGTAAATTCAGGATAATTATTCGGTTAAATGCCAGACTGTGGCACCGAGGCATCTAAATATATGTTTTTAAATCTTTTTTATTTCATTTTATTCATTTATAATATAAAATAAAAAATACAAAATCAAATAGCAGTAGAAAAAGGAAAACAAAAAAGTTGTGAAGAAAAGGAGGGGAAGAAACAAAAGGCATTTTGGAACAACATTAAAAAAAAAAACAAAATACTTGAATATATGTTTTTAATCTTTACTCAAGTATTTTTTTATGTTCTTGCAAAATTGCACAAGTACAGGAAAAAAAACCCCAGAAAAGTCTGTGTCCTGCCCTGCGATCTTCGTCACACCAACTCAGCATTTAAATAATTCTTTTTTTGTTGTTGTTGTATGGTAGATATGGGATAAAACCGGATTGGAATGTTTGAAAGTATTAACAGGACATACTGGCTCCGTTCTTTGTCTACAATATGATGAAAGAGTAATTGTAACTGGATCGTCTGACTCTACTGTCAGGTGAGCATTTTATAGTCATGAATATGGCAGAAAGAGAAATGGAGTAAAGAAAATGCGGGAATGCCTTTTCCTATTTAAGAAACACTTTAGTATTTTATTTCAATTAATTTAACTTCTTTAGTTACTGTTGTAGGCAGAAATCTATTCTGCCCGATACAAAGCTGACTTGTGCCAGAATTAATCCTAAAAATAAAATTATACAAAGAATGGCTTTTCTGTTAAATTTAAATGGTTTCATTCAATGTCTGGGTATGAATGTGGAAGCACTATCGATGTACAAGAAGTTAGTTTCCAATGCCGGTAGCATATGATTTCATAGATACATTTTGTATAACTTGTGTACATCAGTCAGCATTTAATCAGTTGCGTAATCATAGCACTCTGAAAATTGGTATAGCCTAAAAGAGAGAAAAACTCTCCACTAATTGTCAGCTTCATAACACCTGACCAAGTTTTCTTTCCTCAGAGTCTGGGATGTGAATACAGGCGAAGTCTTGAACACTTTAATTCATCATAATGAAGCAGTGCTTCACTTGCGCTTTAGTAATGGTTTAATGGTGACCTGTTCAAAGGACCGGTCTATTGCTGTTTGGGACATGGCTTCAGCAACTGACATCACTTTGCGCCGAGTATTAGTTGGCCATCGGGCTGCTGTTAATGTTGTGGACTTTGATGATAAATATATTGTATCTGCTTCTGGAGATAGGACCATTAAAGTAAGTTGGCAATAAGTTTCTAAAGCAGTGATGAATCTATTTAGCACACATCTAACGTCTGAAATCTCTCTAAATTAATTTCTATAGCTATACGCTCAATTACTTTTGCTTTTAAAACATTATCCAGATTTTTAAATTCATTTTTATGGCTTGTGACTTCTATAATACTATTCTCATAATGTCCTTGGAAGATACTTTGATATTTGCAGCTGATTAAATACAGCACATTTGGATTAGTTAATTTGTTTGAGGATTGTGGTGGCTCACATGTTTAGGATATTGGGCTGACAATTTGTAGGCTCACATTCCAGACCTAGTTGTTTCCACGGGATGGAGTGAGCTCCCACCACACCTCCAGCTCCCGCCAACCCAGCAGTTTGAAAACTGGTGACCACAAATAGATACATGGGTACCACTTTGATGGGCAACTTAACGGGGAAATGAAAGGAGCCCCCAACTGGGCGTCTCCCAGAGAACAGTGATGTCATTATAAAGTTATTGTGATGATGATGGTGATGATGATGTCACTATTCAATCCTTTCAACCCAGAAGTACTTGCATGCTCCTGACACAAATGTAGTAGCAGCAGCAGCAGCAGTTAATCTGTGATTATAATTTTAAACAAACGGTCTGTTTTAGCCACACTTCAGTTGGCTAAAGACCACTGGCAAATGAGTATTTCCAAACTATAGGTAATATAATGTTGTGCAGTCAAGATTCATTGTCTTCTCCAAATGATAATCCCTGAAAAGCTTGAAAATGATGGTGGCAGTGGGATAAACTTCAGAAAGACAGCAAATGTTTCACAATGTTAAGCAAACATATTTCTGCTTGCACAGATTCCCATAGTTACAGTATCTTCACCACCAAATATGCTTTGCAAAGTCTTCCAAACCAGCAAAATATTGGATATGACGGTGGGGAGAATGGTTATTATGGGTTGGTGGTGAAGAACATTAAGGTTCTGTTTCACCAGTAAGACAGCATCTATGGGTGCAATAAAAACCAAGCTGGCAGGAATAGCCAACACTCCAGAAGACAGGCTTAAGATACAGAAGGATCTGGAAAGTCTTGAACACTGAGCGCTATCTAACAAAATGAAATTCAGTGGTGAAAAAAGCAAGGTTCTACATTAGGCAAGAAAAACCAAATGTAAGGTATAGTATAGGGGGGACCTTGCTCAATAGTAGTAACTGAGAGGGATCTCGGAGTCCTAGTGGACAATCACTTAAATATGAGCCAGCAGTGTGCTGCAGCTGCCAAAAAAGCCAACACAGTGCTAGGCTGCATTAACAGAGGGACAGAATCAAGATCACATGAAGTATTAATACCACTCTTCAATGCCTTGGTAAGGCCACACTTGGAATACTGCATCCAGTTTTGGTCACCACGATGTAAAAAAGATGCTGAGACCCTAGAAAGAGTACAGAGAAGAACAACAAAGATGATTAGGGGACTGGAGGCTAAAACATATAAGGAATGGTTGCTGGAATTGGGTATGTCTAGTTTAATGAAGAGAAGGACGAGGGGGGACATGAGACTGGACAGCTATTTGTCTGAAATGGTATAGGGTTTCCTGCCTGAGCAGAGGATTGGACTACATGACCTCCAAGGTGCTTTCCAACTTTTTATTATTATTATTAGTAGTAGTAATGATGATGATGATGATGATGTCCAACCCAGAGTTGTCATACGAATGGACTTTAATGCTGGTTGATACCTGGGAAGGTGTATTTAGCAGATTGGAGGCATATGCTGTGGCGAAGAACAGGAAATACTCTTCCTCATTTAATGCAGGATGTTGTCCAATGCTGTTGTTAATATAAGAAAAAATGCACTTGTGAGTTATATATACTAAGGAAAGTTTTTCAGCATTGAGAATTAGATTCATAGAATGAAAATTTCATCAGGATTCATGTTATGCTCTCCAAAATTTTTGAGCCATGGCCTTTCATCCTTAAATGACAGAATTTCCAAATTCCCTCACTCTTATTTTGTACACAGGTCTGGAGTACAAGCACATGTGAATTTGTTCGCACTCTTAATGGGCACAAAAGGGGTATTGCCTGCCTCCAGTATAGGGATCGACTTGTTGTGAGTGGATCATCAGATAATACCATTAGGTAGGTAGTAAAATTGCTTTTATTTGAACAAGATCAGTGGGACATGTTCTGATGTATGAGAGCAGCCTTAGTTTTGCACATGCTAAATATCTGAGAGCTGGGGGAGGGGGAGGGGGAGCCATGTAGAAAGGAGGAAAAAATAAAAGAGAAAATAGCAATTGCGTGTTTTTAGAGAAGTGTAGATGGTACCCAGTTCATTCTTTGTTGATAGGACTTCTGACAATAGGACTGAGAATTTTCCCCTGTCCCGTGACATTCCAATCTCTCCCTCACAGCTATTTACCTTAGATGTCTGGAGACAAATCAGGATCAGATTTGTGGGTCTGCACAGTGGGAGTGGGAAAATAATTGGAGGAGATTTTAAAGAGCAGATTTATCTTTGTGATAAATCAGACATTTTATAGAGTTATGCCAATACTGAATTCAGATTAATCTATATACTTCATAAGTTACATTTCAGTGCTTCCCAAATTTTCCAGTTCTCCTAGTAGAAAAAAAATGAAGAACAGTCTTGAGAGAAATGGCCATTCTCCAGTGTTTTGGGGAAGGGGCAGAGTTAACCCTCATTCCTTCATATTTCTAAGCCCAATTCCTCCAAATGCTCTTTACTCACTTCCAAGGTAATTCCTACATGCTTCCCTAGATGTCCACCCTTATGCTACCATAAATCCTTGGCCGTCTTAGTGAAAAATCTTAGGTAATCTTATTGGTTTGTCTACAGAGAAGGGAAGCTTGGTGGAAAGGATATGGAAAAACAATGCACTAGAAACAAGTCAAAATGTTGATACCCAAGCAACTTAGCTGATTAAATACTAAAACATAGGAGTAAAAATATAGTGTTTCAAAATAAGTTGATGTCTACCAAATTAATCCATTGATTCAGATATTACGCTGTGTTTGAATGAGTGAAGGGAAAGGCTGGGATTATATTAAACTGAATTGAAATGAATTTGCCTGTTTCTTTTGCAGACTTTTAGTACAGTGGGACTTTATGAATTAACATTTGCTGTTTGCTGGTAGCTTGTTCATCTTGATCAAGTGGCAGTTAGCCTTGTAGCAGTGTGCTAGAGCTGGTAGCAGAGAGAAAAGTAAATACTTAATATATACGTCCACTCTGTTATTTAAACAAACTGTATTGTGTTTTTTCCAGACTTTGGGACATTGAATGTGGAGCATGTTTAAGAGTGCTAGAAGGACATGAAGAGCTGGTTAGATGTATACGATTTGATAACAAAAGGATTGTAAGCGGAGCTTATGATGGGTATGTGTTTCAAAGCTTTTTTCCAAGGCTGTTTTTTGTTTTGTGTTTGCAACTGTATCTACATGTTAGAAAGGCGCCTTATAAATTTTCTTTAATTTGTAGCAAAATCAAAGTTTGGGACCTGCAAGCTGCTCTTGATCCTCGAGCTCCAGCAAGCACACTATGCTTACGTACATTGGTGGTACGTAGATTTTGATAAATCCTTAATTTACGGTTCTATAACAATAGTATTTATGTACAGGATATTTTTTGTTATAAAAGTACCCGATATAAATGGAAATTGTGAGCCTTTTCTTTTGAAACTGCTGTGGTAAAGAGCCTGAGAATTGTGCGTGTGTGTGTGTGTGTTAAGGAGGTAGGATACCCCAATATCCCTGTGCCTATGAACTTTTAATGTTCTAAAGTGTTATTGTTATGGAACATTACTCCAGGCATTCTGTCTTCCAAATAGTTTCGTTTGCTTAAGGAAATGTACTTTATGTCATCTGCACTTTATATATACTTTTTCTGTGAAGTAAACTATTATATTACAGCAAATATGGTTTCTCCCCCCCCCCCAAAATAAACTTTGAGCTACTCCTAAAAGTAATGTTTAACTTGAGTATCTGCCCTATTAACTATAAACCTCTGCATGTTTCAGGAACACTCTGGACGCGTGTTTAGACTCCAATTTGATGAATTTCAAATTATTAGTAGTTCCCACGATGACACCATTTTGATTTGGGATTTTTTAAATGTGCCTCCCAATGCACAAAATGAAACCCGCTCTCCATCCAGAACGTACACCTACATCTCCAGATAACACTCTGTAATTTACGGTTCTCCAAGGTAAGCATTTATCTTTGCACTTTTGTGGGCTGCTATTTCCATTTTTGACCATGGCCCTTGCACTCCCAAAGAATTGTCATTGATACTTGTGAATTCACTTCTCAAAGAAAAGAAAAGAAAAAATAGATGTGAACTTTTCTATTATTGTAAAACCAATAATTGGCAAATTTTAATATATATGCATATATTTTGAAACAGGATGTTCCAGGTTTGTAACCATGGTGTCGATCTCAATTTAGCAGCATCAAAATATTTCTGAAGGAAGGCCTTAAAGGGATGCTGTTTTACGTGCACAAAATGAAGCAAATTGATACTCCTCAGATATTTTAGGAATACCATTCCTAGCAGTTCGATCAATGTAAACAACAATCAAGCATTATAGAAGTGGCGATCCAGTACATCTTATTACCTACATAGACCCTAAGTAATTTTGAAGGATTATATTGGGTTTTATTTTAGGTCTAAAAATATCTGGAGTGCAGACATCCAGATGACTACTAGATGGCAGCAAAGAGTTGATGTTTTCCACCATCTGGTGATTTTTGCAGCCCAGATAGATCAGACCTAAGACAGTCTAATGCTTGACTTCTTTAATCACAATTAAATTGTTCATAAAATCTTTACTGTTATTATTATAAAAATGGCAAGAGTATTGGCTAAATGTAAAAAAATTCAAATTCTTTTCATTGAAGGAATGTTCAGAAGTGTTGTCAGAAGGATGCACTGATATCATACCGTTATTCTTATAGCCAGGCATTATAAACTTGTAAAATAACACATCATATGAAATAGCAATAAATAAGACTAATGATAGAGGGACAATTTTATACACTGCTAGTTCCTTGTGTTTCTACATGGGTGAGGAAAATATTTAGGTGAAAATAGGCTAATAAAGAAACTAATTGCTTTCCGATCCAAATGCTCTGGCATGATATGGGCAGGGCTGACTTTCCTACTCCATGGTCAGAGTAGAAACTGAGCATCTTGGTAGAGAAAATATTTATTTATTTGTATGGAACTTTGTGTCTCCAATTACATATTAGGTGTAACGCAACCCTGGTATGGTCAAACATTCATCAGTACTGATCTTATTGTAACATTTTTGCTAGGCACTTTATTTTGTTTGATCCAAGTCTTTTTGTGTTGGACCTGGCATCCTACAGCAGTTAACAATTTCAATCAAGATTTAAGGGAACCAAACAGTCTTATTTGTTATAAGTGGTCAGAATAGCAGAGTAAGCCAAATTGAATTTAAAATCATTGCTTATAAACAATGATTGCGTCAAAGAAATCTCTAGTGCAGGTGATCCTGCTGACTCAACTTAATTACAAAAACTAATAAACTCTGTCCTCCATTGTTAATAGATCTGTAGATCATAGCCTTCTATCTCCCAATAAGACATAATTGTTTTGACTTAATTTTAAACCCGTGATTTTCATTTTTTGTAGGATTCTACAGTCTTTGAACTACGGGACATTTGGCTATCACACATCTGAAGACAATAGCCGCAGCTAAAGTTGGAAGTGGTTTTAGGTGCTGTGTAGATGTAAAGCAGCACAAGTCTTTCTCTCAATGTAACTTTTTCCAGTCCTCCTCCACTCAGTGGTCTCTTAAGGAATTGACTAGGAATTCACTGAGTTCAGCCCCTCCCTCACCTCAGTGCAAGATCCAAAGCTTCATGAGTAAATTGCCCATATACACTGAACCCATGGCTTGTTTTTCCAGGAGTAAATCAGATGTCAAGGATGGACTTGACCTAATTTATATTTGCTTTGCACTTTTGTCTGACTCTGAAGAAGAAAAACATTCTCAGTGAAATGTGGGTGCCAAACGCATAACCCAGAATGTACAGAGCTTTGTTTTCAAAAATCACCTCATCCCGCAGCTTTTACATTTCACGATTAATGCGGATCCTGCTGTGTTTGCTCAGAGTCTCAGTTGGACTGGTAGAAATACTTCGGAATGGTTCAGTAACCTTTTGGACAATAATTTACTTATTTCTGCACCTGTAATTTGCTTTAATTTAAAGATTGTAAATTGGGCTAGATTATCAAAACTAGATGTACAGCATTGTCTTTTCTTTAACTTGTACTCTGTACTACAACTGTCTTTCTCTTCCTCTAATGTTTGGTATAGTCAGATCTTTCCTGTGCGCTTGCCTCATTCTTACCAATACTGTACCTGTATAAGCATGTAGATATAATGTACATAAAACATTGTAACCTCCAAGGGCTGGGAGTTGGGGCCTTCTGATGCTGTATACAGATGCCAAGGGAGATGCTTTTAAGTACCCAGGCATTCTTACTACTGGCGCCATATGGAGTTGGGATGTATTAGAAACATTCTTCTGTGAAAGGGAGAGCGTTGGCATTCATTAGGATTTTCTTTTTTTAATTGGGAGGACATATCTTAATATTAACTTCTAAACATAAGACCTTTTTATTTTTTAAAAAAAGCTAAAATTTCTTTCACTATTCCACAATACAATATTTGCAAATCATCTTGAAACCACTGTCTAAAGTTGAAGAGACATCAACCCTATAAATATCTGTTTGAATTGTCCGTGATTTCCATGCCAGTATGCTGAATTGGAAGATGAATTGTTATTCAATTGAGACCTTAGAGGAGATGATTGGTGTACCTTACCATTTATTTGGAGTGACCTAGCAGGAAATGGCACAGTGGGTTTTTTTCTAAGTATGACTGGCCATGACTATTAATTCAGTATCTCCCTATACAAAAAACATACTCCTTTGAAATTATTGTCTCCATGTTTTTAAATTATTGCTCTGCAAGATTGTTCAATAGCTTCTCTTAATGTTCTTTAGAAGTTATTAATAAATAAAAATACTGGTTGGTCCAGGAGCAATTGTTGGCATGGATGTGGGTGATATCATATGGTAGTCTATCTGCTTTCCTTTTACTGCCACTGCTGATCCCCCCCTCTCTTATCCCTGCCCCCTTTTTTGGTTGAGGGGTCAAGGAATATTGATACCAATATAAATGACCAATGAATGAATTTTGCTTATTTAGTGGAACAGCTTACGGTTGGCTATTTCACTTGCACACCACCTAGTTTGTCTGTCAAATAAAAAATGAAAGCACATGCCGGATGTGAGAAGGTACAACTTGAGCTGCTTCTGGTTTCCACTCTTCACCTCTGTTGAGCTCCTAACTTCTTCTGAACACGGAAAAAAAGATACTACATGGATCTGATCCAATCTACAAAACCCTTAAGAGGACACTTTCCCATATCAGATGTTGAGATGGGCCACAGTTACAGAAATGGTTTTGCCTCTTCCCCCCATCCCCATGTCACCTAACAGCTGCAACACGAAAGACTTGATATTGCAGCCCTGAAAATAAAAGGTATTTACGGACAACCATCCATTTTTAATGCATGTGTAAGATGAAATTCATGTTTTCCCATGGGAAATGATGGTATTTGAAGATGCAGCCTAAACTACTTTTGATTGTGCTTGGTGTAACGTAGCCGTGGAATTCGTAACTGACACCCGAGGAGCTTGACTCCTGGGATGAATGATAGTACCGGCTGTACTCTGGACTTTGTTTTGCTAATCATTGCTGAACAGCTGTATGTTACTGCTAGATTAATGTTTCAAAGCACTGGGATAGTCTTATTCTAACTTGTAATTATGTTTGCCAGTTACCTGTTTGGAAAGTTTGTGTATGAACAGCTTATCGGACAACTGTTAAAATGTACAGATATTGTTGATGATATAAGGCTTTGTACTGTGGAATGTGCTTAATAAAAAAACCCTCTAAATTTACATCTTTCTATACATGTAACCAATGCTATTGAACATATTTGTAAAGGACTTAGATAAGAGGTTTCCAAACACAGTTGTCAAATTTACAAATGACATATAGCTTAGAGAACAGCAAAAACTCATACAAAAGGAAACGACGTCTTGGTGATCCCCAAACTGAACACAAGCCAACAGTGTAATGAAGCAAAAAAAAAAAAAAAAACCAAACCCTAAGCCAGGGGTAGGCAACCTTGGCTCTTTTATGACTTGTGGACTTCAACTCCCAGAATTCCTGAGCCAGCCATGCTGAGGGGAAAGGGAGAGGTTTCCAAGCTGAGCCATGCTGGCTCAGGAATTCTGGGAGTTGAAGTCCACGAGTCATAAAAGAGCCAAGGTTGCCTATCCTAGGCTGCATCAAGAAAAGTTTTTTTCTGCATTAGTTAGATCATAATCTAGAATATTGGGTTTTAGTTCTGGGCACAGATTTAGGAAGGAGATTGACAAACAAGCATGTCCAGGGAAAAACAAGACAATGAGCTTACAAGGAAAAACCTGTGAGAAGTGATTGCATACATTAAAGATGTTTAGCCTGGAGAAGACTGTACGGAGGCATGACAGCTATCTTCAAGCACAGTGGCACCTTGGTGCTCAACTGCTTTGAAACACATTTTGACATGAGATCTTTGTCCCGGTTCTCACATTTGCTTGGAACTCATCGCACACATACACCCAGAACCAATTAACGAGTACCAAGGTATCATTGTATTTGAAGAGCTGCTATCGTATGTAGAATTTTGGGCAGAATTATTCCAGAATCAATTGAAAATTGTTTTAAATTAGCTTTGGTTTCAGCAAAAGTTTCTAACAATAAGAGCTGTTCAGCACAGGCTGGATAGCTATTTGTCAGGGATGCTGTAGTGGTAGATAGCAGCACTGGAGAGTGGGATGTCTGGTCCCTTCTGACCTTTACATTCTATAGTTAATATTATTTTGCTACATTTGCTCATTATCATAATTTTGATAACGAAATTGATGGGCAGTGGGACTTGTAAGGCAGAATTGGTTTGTGGATGGATGCAATAAGAAACGGGAATTGAAGAAAACCAAGCAGTAGCAGCAGCTCTGTTGACATTGGTGAACAAGAAATCAAGAACTTTCTTAACCAGGCTTCACTGAAACTAAAATAAAAACTGAATTCAGATCAGCATCATATGGCAACCAGCTATTAGGTGAAAGGTAAATAAATGTATTACATTCAGAGAACGTACATTTCCAGCTAGACCAGTGGTTCTCAACCTGTGGGTCGCGACCCCATTTGGGGTCGAACGATCATTTCACGGGGGTCGCCAAACCATGCAGTCTGCCATTTTTTCCCCCTTTTCCTTAGCTGTGCCCTTTTATTCTATTGGCTTTTGAAAGCCAGTAGAATAGACTCTCTTGAATAGAGTCTAATTCTATTGGCTTTCAAAAGCCAATAGGAATTGTCCAGGCTGTCTCTGCCCTGCTAAGCCCGCCAAAAGTCCCATTCTGCAAACGGTGCTGCACCAGTTGAGTAGTCCTTGACTTACGACCGGTTGAGTAGTCCTCGACTTACGACCGGTTGGGGGTTGCGGCATTAAAAAGGTTGAGAACCACTGAGCTAGACCATGGTGAAGAGCTAATGGCCTCTGCATATTGCAGAATATGTTTGGTCATACTGAATGCAAACTACATATGAGTTGATGGGGGGGGGGGAATCCCAGAATCCATATCCCTCCAACATCTGGGAGTACTTTTACTAAGCAACTGAAGGATTGTAGAATTGGATTGAAATCACTCATTCTATCGTTTCACCTAATGGATGATCATGGATTTTAGTATTTGGGGATGAAGGAAAACAATCAATTTTCTCTATAGCATACATTACTCTATAACATCTCTCAACCCTTGAACACCACTTTTCACAATGACTCCTGGTCATTTTAAAATCCCTTCTCTGCATTTCCTCCCATGCTCCCCAAATTCTTAAATGATGCCATGAGTGGAATTGTACATAGCATGCCAACTCCATCACCCCGTACTCTTGTGCAAGATGATTACAGTATTGACAATTTTATTTTTGAAATAATGGCAAATAAGGACAGTGCCATTTTCACAGCAATTATATGACACTTCAAGTACCCTTACATAATTATTGGGGGGTGGAGATGGGGCAAAATAAAAAGTAAATACAACAAATAGTTTGTGTGGATAACTATCCAGTTTATTTTATTATTATTTTTTAAAAAAACAGCTTTCTTTTAGTTGTCATTACTCCCAATGCCCCCATCCTCTTTCTCCTTCGATCAGCAGCCCTGAAAATAACTTTCCATTTCAATTTGCTTATGCCAGGACTCCTACTGCTTGGCTGTTTCTTGGGGTGTTTCCCCTCCATCTGCATAAACAGAAAAGGGTTAGCTTTGCACCTCAGGAATGAGAAGATTTAAAAAAAGAGAGATTATTTATTTTTCCACCAAAGTTAGAAATATGTTAGAGAGGTTGCAAAAGTGTTTTGTTTCAGGAAATTTCATCATGTCTCCAGGAAAAAAAAAAGCCATAATTGGCCTCAGATTTACTAATAACCTTTTTTTCATTCTTGTAATTTGAGGAGTTGTAGGTCATCTCGGGGTGACTGTAGTTAAGGATAGTTTAGTTCCTCTGTGAATACCTAGTTTCTGCAGCAGTTGCCCCCTCCTCAGATCTTTAAAAAAAAAAAAGCCATTGGCCTGGGGCTCTAATAGCCAGTATTTTTGGCATAAGCTTGCATACTTTTAGCATATGGAAATATTTTTAAGAACACATACCAGGCTTTCACTCTTAAAAGTGAAATGTTCCAACAAATTAACCAATGTGTATATAGCATTCTTTTTTTAAAATGTTCAGACTCCCCCTCCCCCAAACAGCATAAAATAATTAAATAAAATATTGCCGATGTGAAACCATATTGCAAAAATGAATGAATGCAGGAAGGTTGAGTTCAAAGCTAAATTCAGGTTCTGTTGGATCACAATTGAGGGTCCATTCAGTCTAACCTTCTGTTTCTATTTGTAGTCAAAGAAGCTGGATATGAAGATGTTAAGTTTTCTTCTGCAATTTCTTTCTAAGCTAGCAGAAATATACAAGAACCATCCAAAGAGTAAATTTCCCATGACTGCTATACGAGCACAGTGGCTATAACCTCTGGTGAAACCCAGCAAAAGGGCTTTTGTTTAAAGTGCTGTTTGCCTCCAAGCTTCTTTCTTTCTCTGTGCATAAAATAAACAAATAAATAAATCTCCAGTACTATACTGTTTTACCATCTTTCTATCCACCTGCAGTAGAAAGGCTTCACCCTCATCTTCCAAATAATACACAGGTAATATGGACCTAAAAGTCTTCAAATAGTTGCACTGAAACAACACACACACACACACACACACACACACACACACACAACCATTTATCCTTAAGTGGAGAATTAAAAACGGCTGAAAAAAAGTGCAGTTTAAAAGTTAAGGGATATAATTCCATAATCTTTTTGAAATTTTAGTGTATCTATTGTTCAGTTGTAACTGTTAAAGATACCATCTTGGCCATTTGTCATTGGTCAACTAATTTTTCCTAGCCTTAATGATTAACCAACTAGCTATTCAATCCAGTTAAGCAGGACAAAATACTTTCTGTGTGTAACGTTAGATAACTCACCCAATGATAATCACGTTTGCTTGTTTAGAACCATTGCGTTACTCTGCATCGGGCACGTCAATCACAAACACATTCATTTCAGGTTGTCCACATAGTCCTGTCTACAGAATGAAGGAGATACCAGCAGGCTCAAGGAAACTCTTAACATTTGCAGATACAATATATCTTGGCTAAAACTCATACAGTAGAAATGGAAAACATGGCCAGAAACCTGTAGTAAATGCTAAGGCCTGGATGTCCTGAAACACCTCTCTCAAAAGCCTTCCAGCATTTCATTTTCTGGTTTTAACTCCTATGTTGGAATATCAACTTAGTCATTTCTGCTTTCACCACCTATTTTTTTCCAGGAATTGCCTCTTCTGGTGTGTCCACCCCTTAGCCTTGGAGAGTGATATGGAACACATTCACGCACACCCTGTGCTGCCTTTGTGTCGATTAAAAGATCAAAATGCAGAATAAGAAATGATATCTTGGCCATCTAACATAAAAAGGCGTCACCTAGAAGATTCCATTCTTTCTTCTCTCTTTGAGAGACTCTCAAACTGGTTTTGTATTGCTTTTATATTTTGCTCTAAAAGTGGTTCACGTTTATAGCTTAAATTGTTTCAGATAATTCAATATGTCTCTCTGCTTTTGCCCAGTTTTTGTTCTGTTTGTTGCTAAAGAGATAAAGAAATCTCTCATAACTTGTTTTACTAGCCTCCCATACGCTAGCGAAGAAGTTTCAGAAGTAAAATTAGTCCAAAAGAAACACTTTGATTCCTGAAGATACTTTAGTTTAATATCCTCTTGTAGTATTAGCTGTTCATTAAGTCTCCACTTACTTGATCTAGGAATTCATTTTTAGTCTGACAAATATTGGGTTATGATCTGCATATGTAAAAACTCCATCTATGAATAAGATACATGTATTTTTCAAGTATGACCTGTGGCTGACTTCTTTGTGTTGCAGAATTTACCCTATAACTTTCCTGAATTTCCAAAGTTTTGTCTTGTTTATCAAGTACATAAATCTTAAGTAAATTTACTGTATTTCTTTCTAGATCTTTTTAACTGATATCTTCAGATATATCTTTGGGCTTCACTTTTTTGGCACACTTGAGCTTAAGACTGAACTTAAACGTTGGAATAAACATTCTTAATGGCGCTTACTAGGAAAGTCAGCAAAGTGGATACTTTCTTGTATACAAAATAATGGGAGAATGGATTTGTATACAGGGCAGGAATACATTTTTATCCTTGGGCACTGATGGCTCTGTAGTGAGATCCTAAATGCTCATAAAGTAGGAGGGGTTAAGGTATATGTTGATCCAGTTTAT